GCTAAAGCTTTTGAACGAGATCTCGTTGAGTTATATTTAATACATTCAAACATATGTGATTCAAACCTAAATTGATCAACAAAACAGAACGGTAGTGAGTCCAATATTGTTTAATGTACAATAGTACTATATAAAATATAAAAATACATATAATAATTATTGTATTTGTATTGTAAAAGTTGTGTCTTAAATATATGTTACATTGTCTTAAATTCCTATGAAAAAGAATGAATAAAAGGTAGAAGTCAATACATACTTAAATGAATAATCTCATTCCCAATAATTTATTTCGTGTGTGTCACAAAATTATTAACTATCTTCACTTAGTTATTGATTATAATACTTTTTCCTAAAATATTTATTAAGAATAGAATAGTATTATTATCATGTATATAATACTTCCACATCGTATTTGTGATAAAAATATTGTAAAAATTGGTGTTCTCCGTTTTGTGACGATATTTTAATGTGTTATTTTTTTGTGTTAACTTTTTTTTACTTCATGTTTTAATTTTGATCGTTATAATAATTGAGTTTTAAATGAAATAAAAGAAAACCATTCCATTTTCAACTATTCGTTAAATGAATTTAAGTCTCAACTCTCAGCCCATTCTTGAACAACGTTATAAAGATGACAAAATTGTTAATTGAGGTGTACACCAATTATTTTATTTAATCAATCTATTGGAATCTGAATTTAGGATTTTGACATTGAATTTTTCAATATAACCATCCGGTATCAGACACGTTCATCTATTATTTATGGAATTTTAGAAATCGATAGTGTTGGTGTATTATTAATATATGAACAGGTCGGGAGTCGGGACGCCTTTACTATAGATCATATTGTATATGCATTTTCTAATACCTATTACTACCCCTGAATCGTATTAATCAGTTATGTATTGATAGGCTAGTTACATTATCAAAATTTATGAAAGTATTCATATAAATGAAATTAATGTATTTCGGATTATAATACATACTTTCGGTTACTTTTCAGCGACCTTGATCAGGGGCAGACGAAATGTGAATTAATCTTATGTATCTATCTAGCTTTAAAATAATAAAATAGCGCGTAGTATGTAATCCGAAAAATATTAGTTTCATTTAAATGAATACTCGTGAAAGTCTTAGATATCAATATTTACGTAAATATATGTTTTTCTGTATTCAAGACATAAAATATTGTTCTGCAACAATTTAAATGCCGATATCAATATTCATAAATTTAAATTCCTAACTTTGAAGGAAATCTTTCCAAGTGATTGAAGATTATCTCTTTTGGAACAGTCATGATAAAATTTCAGTTTGAAATTGATCCTTTTATTGTGTACTATTAAGTGAAATGATAAGTTTTATTTGGTGCACTTTTAACTGGCGTAATTTTTACTAAAAGATATGAATATAACTAAATTAAGCTCAGCGGAATAGCCCTAATAATTACCAATAACAACAATCGAAAGCCTGATTACGAAATGGGGCTTATAAATAAACTTAATTGATCATAATTGTTGTTTTATCAGAATAAATCTTTATTCTATAAATACTTTTTATAATAAAAATTATTACCACACTAACAAAAATAACTGACATTGATATAACGATTATGTTTAATTGCTTCAAAATGGGTTTAACGATGTAAAAATAGAATTCGTAATGAATTAACATTCGTAAAATAAAAACGTGTTATTTAGTCCAACTTGTGGAAGTAAAGTATAATTTTGATTGTGCTTTGATTCCAATTAAATTTGAGGATGTCACATTTTATCTTATAGATTTAGAATTAATTATATTGATACTTATCCTGTTTGAGTAAAAAAAAGGCAATGAGTGTTATGAATGAAACTTAAGGTAGCAATTTAAATTAGGTTTTAAATGTTTTTCTACCATCACGTACGTATTTATATATTTGACTGTATTTCAAAACTCTTGTTCTCAAAACCTTTTGACCAAGGACCTCCTGGGGCTTAAAGTATTATTTATATAATTTAACCAATGTACTTTTAAGTGTATAAGAAGAACATTTTAAAATGTTAAACAAAACAGGCAAACAAATAAATTTGTCTGATTGTTGTTCTTTTAATTAGTCACAAATTAATTTGCATATAGACACTATATGGAAATATTAATTTTATTGTATGCAAAATATAAATATAATTTTATATAATCGGTATTTATTTTACATTTATTACAAAATTCTTTCATGAAACAAAATATCTGTAGCTTATATTACCATAAAATAATAACATAGTAAATTTTAGAGAGGTCGTAATAAAATGTATTTTATTTAGTGTATTGAAAATTTAAACAGCTGGATAATTTCACAACTAGCATATTTGAATCATTTTTTTATTATTAAGGGCTGCCATGTACTTATTATATACAAAAAGGCCTAATTTTATGTTCATATTTCATAAAATACTTTTAGACCACACATGAGCTAACTTGGTAAGCGGAAATATAATGAAGAAAAATACTTTTTCTACTATTTCAATTATTATAATCAGATAACTTGTTCAAATTAAAATTAAATATGATAAATTGATAACGAATCATTTATTCTATCATCATTAGGTACCTAATTTGGCATGGTTTTCTGTGGAACAACCTGTCCTTTACAACTATAATTTTTTTTTTGCTCAATTTTTGTTTTCGCAAATATTATTTATAGCTTATCTGTGGTTCTAGCTCAAGATGTTTTACGAGTATTTCCAGCCTTAAGCGATTCTTCTTCCTGATAACATTTCACTCCTCATTGTTATTATGTTTCATGTTCAACGCTTATAACAATATTTTTTTAACACCACATTTAATATTATTATTTTTTTATGTGTCAAACGATCCGACGACCTACTTAATGGGTAGTAGTTACTGTTGCCCATGGACATTCGCTAAATCTCTGTTTTTGAGGAAAAGAGGTGGGAATCAGGAAATAGAAGGAAAAAGTGGGAACAGAGAAAAGGCAACCGGCTCTCTCACTCATCGGACGAAACGCAGTTATTAATTACTACTTCACGCGGATCTTGTGTGACAACGGGTGGTCCTTCCCCAATAGAGACATCCCTTATTCGAGCTGTAGTTACTTGCCCACAGTTAGTCTCTACCGCCTATTAATACTATTGTTTTATCAAGCTAATAATGGCTGGTGATATTTCTTTGGTTAGAATATCATGAAACATTTTTTTGAAATAGCCATACACTGCATTTAACATTTCATAGTATTTTTATCACCTTTAAGACAAATTCTGTGTTATTTTAGCGACTGAAAATATTGCTCCGATAAATATATTTTACTGATCATATTTTTTCTCGGTTTTGAATATTTTAGGGAATAAATGCTTTTGGTTTTTAATGTACAATGAAGTTTCAGAAACAGTAACTTTTGTTACTGTAAGTTGGTAAGAGGACGACAGAATAGAAAGATTTAAATTATCTTATAAAGGTTACTAAATACGTTGTTAGTAAAAGTCGTATATTGATTTTAAAAGATTATTTATAACGTCTATTAACGCCTACATGATAGGGTAGAAGATGGAGTATGTATTTACAAATCAATACGATATATGTATTAAATTCTGCTCAATAAAGTCGAAGTAAGTTATTTTTAGGGATTTTTTAATAACATTGATATTCGCCTTATAGAGAAAAATTTCCATAAATAAATATGAAAGTCTTGCTTGATATATGTTTATGAATAATATTTAACAAGTATTGGTTATAATCCGGTGCTCAGCGTGCGGTGAACTCTATTTAAGCCGCGGTTTCGGAAATGCGATATCCAAGATTTACGAGAACGCTCTCCTTTAAATTATATCAAACCACCACACTGTTACATTTGTACTAAAATGTTAAGACTTAATTCCCAATAAATAATATATGTAGTTTGTATGTATAAAAACTATAGAGTTGTATAATATTAATTTAGTAGGAGTTCCACTATTACTGTAATAATATACTTTTATTATATTAGTATTACTTACAGCAACATCATTTTCGTAGTTGAAAATAAAAATGATAAAAGATCTTGTAAAGATTTAAATAAAGTATAAGTCAATTTAGGAGTCTTTAAAAATCAAAGTACCGGGATCGGATTAAAATATTGTATATATTTAAATTACTTAAATATAGCAATTTTAGAAGAAATTAAGTTAGATGGTTATCAGGTAATCAGGTAAAAAAGAACAAGTAATCTGATGAGATGAAAAATCAGAACCCATCCATCCATCCAAACTAAGGTCCTCATTTATATAAAGTGACTGGGCTTTATAATGTTTCTAAGATTAGAAAGAGAAATATATTTAACGAGGTTAGGCACTAATGTAATTTTCTGTTATGTGGAAAAGTTCTCATGTTATTTATTTAATTTTACTTTGCCCTTTCATTTAGAAATTTCGGACTTGTTAGTTAATGAAATTTAGTTTCGGAGATTTTCGTGAGCCACAATACCTAAAAGAGATCAAAGGGAATAAACTTTGTTTAGATAATTAATAAACACCAGATAAGGTGTCTAACCCGCTAAGCCTTACGGGTTAAACAGGTAAGGCGTTTGTATTATTTTAACCCTACAATGCATTTTGTGCCATATCTGGTACAGTCACAATAATTAAGTTTACCGTTCATTTAAAGACACCTAGTGTCATATGTCGAATGAAAGAATAATCTTTGAACCCTTAGCAACGGATTAGTAATGGTAAGTGTCATCGGATGGTTTTGGCTATCGATTGTTATTGTAATTCGTACACAATTTGAAAGTTTGACGCGTACTCGTGGTTAACGTAAATTGAAAATTCTTAAAAAAATAGTTTTTTGAATATTAGAAAGCAAAAAAAAAAAATACTATTACATTAGAAATAGTGTACATAAAATGAAGGTAAGTATTTTTTTTAAATATTACTATTTTTTGTTTATATACATCAACTTATTTAAGTGTTCCAGATATGGAACACTGTGCATTAGTTCACTTCTATTTTTTTTTTGGTTGGATTTTATTACAGATTATGGCAAAGAAGGTATTGTCTGACGAGTTGATTGAGCAGTATTTAGATATTCCGTCAGAAACTGAATTCAGTCAAGACTTTTCAAATGCGCAAAGTGATAATGACCTGGCGAAGAACAGAGAAAATTTGTACCAAATGAATGGAGTTGGTGACTCTGAAAATGAGCCTACTCGGTATGCAGCATTTACTTCTGCTAATTGCAGTAGCTTCCTTGACGAAAATATAAATGAATAATCGACAAATCCTCAGCCCATCATATCAGGACCAAGTACTTCATCACGCCAAAATAGAAGTTGTTTCACTTTATCAGTTAGAAGAAATAAAATTACGAATAATGTAACTAATAAGAGGAAGAAAAAAAATTTAATATGGTAAAAGAAATCTTTTGCAAACTGAACATCTACAATTTTCTGGAAGTACAAATTTAAAGCCACTAATCACAACTTTGGATACTCCATCGCAATATTTTTTATATAAATTTTTTTGTGGTAATGTGGTATGATAAAAAGCCTGTAGTTTTGTCCTCATGGTACGACTACAGCCTATTAGCAAGGTTAGACGGTATTGCAAGAAACAGAAAAAGTACATTGAAGTAGATTGTCCTCAAATGATTTAAAAAAATCATTCATTGTAGGGTTAAGATTCTTTTTTATATTGAAGGTCCGAAGTATATTTTTAATAATTAAAAAATTAAACAAGAACTAATTACTTGAAAATTGTGTAAATAAATTCCATGCAATGTTTTGGTAGCGATGATTGCTTGTTTGTACTACGTACTCGTAGTTAATCCGTAAGACATAGTTTGGACTATAAAGACATATACAGACTATAAAGACATTTCAAACAACTTCTAAATTTTATATATCAATTACATTTCTTGCTTTTGAAAATTTATTTTTTATATTAAGTATACAAGTCAGGAAAAGTATGAATGTACTCTAAAATAATACATTTCTATTTTTCTTTTGTGTGAAACTTGTTTCAATTATAATAAACTAAGTGTCTTTTGCAAGAAACAGAAAAAGTACATTGAAGTAGATTGTCCTCAAATAGTAAAAGTTTATAATCAACATATGGGAGGAGTTGATTTGATGGCCTCTTTCTTGGAAAGCATTATATAAAAATGCGTACTTAAAAAATGGTATTTACGTTTGTTTTACCATTTTTTAGACATTACCACCATAAATTGCTGGCTACTGCACAAGAAGGTAGGAAAACAGGAGAAAGAGTCCAATCATATTAAATAAAACCATTCTAAACTAGAACTAGATAAAAGTCTTTGTATGTGTGGTCCGTCGTTAAAGACGGGCCAAAGAAAAAGAGGAAGACCCTCTTCTGCTGTAGATAACATTATCGAGAAGAAGAAAACAAATAATTCAGCTATCCTTCCATCTCGATATGTAAGGCATGATAAATTTGATCATCTTCCCATATGTACTCAGAATCGACAACGCTGTAAGTATCCTCAGTGTAAAGAAAAACATACATATCTTGCGAAAAGTGTCGTGTTGAGTTGTGTTTCAACAAAGATAACGATTGTTTTAACAAATTTCATTCATAAACGTAATAAATTTTAAACTATTTTATTATGTTCATTGTTCCTAATTAAGAGCCAAATATTAGTATAAATGCATATTGTACCACATATGGAACAAAATTTAATAAATGAATATCTATTAAACTAATGGATTTTGATTATTGTTTTCATACTTTATTATGTCTAGACACCATATAGAATCACATATATTTTTTTGAGATGATTTAAAAAAATCATTCATTGTAGGGTTAAGATTCTTTTTTATATTGAAGGTCCGAAGTATATTTTTAATAATTAAAAAATTAAACAAGAACTAATTACTTGAAAATTGTGTAAATAAATTCCATGCAATGTTTTGGTAGCGATGATTGCTTGTTTGTACTACGTACTCGTAGTTAATCCGTAAGACATAGTTTGGACTATAAAGACATATATAGACTATAAAGACATTTCATACAACTTCTAAATTTTATATTTCAATTACATTTCTTGCTTTTGAAAATTTATTTTTTATATTAAGTATACAAGTCAGGAAAAGTATGAATGTACTCTAAAATAATACATTTCTATTTTTCTTTTGTGTGAAACTTGTTTCAATTATAATAAACTAAGTGTCTTTTGGTATGGAGAAAGAAGTCTTATTAGTAGGCGTATTAAAGAGGCTTTCAAATTCTGGAGATTCAATCTCTCACGTAAAGGTATAAGGGCGAAGATTCATTTGGCATTATGGGTACCTTTCAACGTAATTCACATAAGTTTCACTCAGTGACTTAAATGCGATGTAGAATAAAAGGTTGTTTTAGCAACATATTTTTAAATTAGCTCTTTTTCGTTTTTCTTTAAAGACATAATTCCACAATCATAAGATCATGAATATAATTTTTATATCTTAAATTGTATTGATCATATATCTTTAAGAAGTATAAAATAGAACTTTTGCTTAGATATTTCTAGGTCTAAACTTTTTTTATTTAGAGAAAGGAAAACAAAGTTGTGGACTTCTAGAGAACAAATTTAAAATTTCTATTGTGATTACTTTGTATGAAATAAAGAAGTTACCCAAAAAAATAATAATTAAACCTGGCTATAAAAATTACTGAACTTAGAAGATGAAAATAGACAAGCTGGAGGTATAATATTTCCTTGATTCCTTTGTATATCTTTGCCTCCGTCGGCTTCATTATTTGTTGTTTTCTGTGCCTGATGTTTAATCCTTTTTATTTTGATACGAGCACGAACCATAATATTATTTCTCTACAATTATAGTTATTATACTTATTTATATGAATTGGTATTACTTATTATGAATATTGTTTGTTCTTCTCAATACCTAACAGGTGGTTAATGTTATTGAATGTAAAATTTATTTAATCCAGATAGTTTTTAAGTTATAAATAAATAATCTCGTACACTTATATGAATTTAGATATTAAAGTAGATACAATTTGATCAGAACCTTATCCATATCATACCTAAGTTTCCTTAAAATTTAGTGACAACAGTATTTTTAAATGGAATATTTGGTTTGGATATTATTAATCGTTTTGAATAAATATATTTTAAAACTATTTTAGTAAATACTTGTAGTTATAGTTTCATTAATTGGCATATAAACATCTGATATAAAAGTTACGAACATAAAAATTAAATGATACTCTCAAAATAGATGTCACCATTCTAGCCTAAGAGTACTTTTTCACTGACACTCGTAGATAATTCATTTTCAACTTTTAGTAGCAAATCTTAAAGTTGAAAATATAGTAAAGTACTTAAGAATAAATTATATCCATTGATAAAATCCTGTCATTCAAAGATAACTTATTATTAGTGTTCGGTTATACGATAAATTAACTACAATATATGTATATATAAATTTGATTAGATTGACAAAATTCTTTTTAAGGTAATTAAAAACAACAACGTCTAAAAACAAATGCCCCGAAGGTGAGGAAAGGTTATAGTTGCAAACAGTTTGAAATTAACATATCTATTACCATAATATTGTTTAAAACTTACGATTATAGAACAAAATTAGAATTAAATATTTTGTAAGGTTGTGAAAACATTTTGTAAAATGAATATTGCTGTTCAACAATCAAGAGAGTAAAATCTTTTATTGTCGTGTAAAACCATCCCACGCTTTTATCCTCAAAGCTTAGTAATAGGTAAAGCTTTATGAAAGCGTATTAAAAAATACCTAGCTTTTATTCATAACGGAACAGGATTATTTCTGTTATTATTAAAACAACGGCTATCCTGATTTATTCCATTTCTCATACATCCAATAAGACCTAGCTCTTTTTAGTGGATAAAAAATAATTTGGCATGACATTGAATTTTAATGTCTACTGCAAATGATTGTAATATATGTAAATATGAAAGGAAATACGAATATTATAATTCATTTGTTTCTATGAAGTATATTAGTAACAAGCACACTGCATAGATGACACTGAACCTTCATAAATCTACTAAATAAAACTTAAAACATATATATTTATATATATATATATATATATATATATATATATATAAATATATATAGATATATAGATTGTTAAAAAAAACTATATTGGCATTAAGCGTATTTTATATTGTGAATACGATATAATCCTTAACAAATAGTTATACATATTTTAATATTTGATTTCTGGTTCGAGAAAATGAATATGTTGGACATGTTATGTAGTCGTAGCTATAACAAAATATACTACTAATTTAAGCCTGTGTTAAATTGATGGTTTATTTATCTTTATCTTATATTTCATAACTGTGTTATAGTAGAGTTTTATTAAAATAAATGAAGTAGTGTTTATGTGAAAGGGTAACAAATAACAAACACTGAAAACAGTATTATTTTAATATAAATGAGGTTATTTATTGACTGACCTCTTTAAAGTAACAAAGGATACATCTTAAAGAGTGGATATTACTTAAAGAATTCTTAATGTAGCTTCCTTGAAAGAGGTATGTTTAAAGAGTTGTAAATTCTTTTAAGCAATTCGGCCGTCTTTTCACGGACAAGGGTTGACTTTTCCTTGCATAAGCTTAAAAAGTAAAAACAACCCTTTCAAATTTTAAATGCTGACATGGTTTAGGCATAAGCTGCTGTCGGCCAGGACACGAGGTGAATGGGGTAAATTCAAAATAATGAAACCACTTTTAAAAATATATATATTTTTATTTAGTTACAAATTGCCCACTTTATGATTTCTTTAATATGTTGGTAACGTTTCGTCACTGTACAGACGTTCGATATATAATATAACATTATAAAATATCCGTTCGTATCCATTAGTATAAAAAAATTTATTATAAACACCATAAAAAAAACTGCTTCAATTTCGTTGCGTAAATACTGTCATGTAAAAAGTCAATTTACCATGAAATGTATTGACAGTGATCCTTAAAAGGTTATACATTTTATGATGGTTTGCTAAACATATTCAGGGTGACGTCATAGTGTCATCGTGTAGTATAAAATCATAAAAAAAATTGTACGATCAGGGAACCCCTGTCAGAGACGGACTACTTTGTGATATTTTTTCAACTTAAATCGTGTTTCTAAATATAAGTTTTCATACATTTTATTGTCTACTATGTATTTCTTCTTATATTCAATCGAGAAGATTCTATTTTTCTAATTGGTTAACTTATTCGCATATTTTATGTTGTTCATTGAATAGATTCATTGACT